AGGGCCGGCACGCGACGCCCTGCCGCCCATTACGGAAATGAATGGACGGAACGTGGAGGCGCGCGGCCATCATGAACTAGTGCAGACGTCCCCTGTGGCGATACTCATTTTGTCCGTTTCGTTGTGAAACTTTCGTATTAAACTGGTGTTGCTGATGGGCTGACAGATGATTGAAGGCAACTTATGGGTCGCGTTTGCTTTCTGTGATAATGCCCTGAGTGTATCTATAACTGCTGATTTCAGAACTGCAATGAATAATATTTTTTTTAGAAATAAAGGTATGTTTTAAAGTAAAATAGTGATGCTAAAACAGCGTGTATTTTCTCGCCCGTATTTTCACACAAAATTACGCCAAAAGTGCTCAAATTTTCCTAGAAAGGTACATGACCTTATTTCAAAATATACTTTTAAGGGATACATTTTATTAAGGGGAAAAAAAAAATAACGAATATCATGCTTCGTCATTGTAGTTGTAGGATGACGCCTAAAAAACGAAAATGAAATCTGCTTTTTTTCTTCAACATCCTTCACACTATCCAAAAACAAAATTTAACTAAAATCCATGGAGCCATTTTGTTGAAAATTTTCAAAATGTTCCAGGGGCTTGATTAAAGTACCCCCCAAAATTAAAATATCGGTTTCAAATTGAAGGGACGCAACATCAGCCAAATTCATTGGGGAATACCGCTTTGGCGAAAATCAGGTGAACGGTTTAACCGCTAGCGTTGATGACGGACGGAAGTTTGGCTTATCAAGGACCCACAAAACAGGGATTCCGGCTACATCACGTGTGAGAGGATTTTTGTTCTAAATTTAGTTACTGCATTTATTCACTTGTTGGTTACCAGGGCCCTGGAATACGTTCTTTGTTATTGTTTTTTGCCGAAAATTCTCCATTTGTTTGCGGAATACGTTACTTTATCTCTACTCCGTACAAAGAAAGTAAAATTATTATTAGGCTTTTTGACTTTTCGCTCTAAATAACAGCAAGGTTTCACGCGTCTAAATTTTTACTGTCTGGAACTACAGTCGAGTCCGGTTATAGTGGATTCGGTTATAGTGAACCTAAGTCACTGGTCCCGTTTCACTTACATTGTAAATAAGCACAAGAAAATTCTGTTTTAATGAACTGTGAAGCTCGCCTATAGTGATCGTAGGAAATACTGTCTGGAATGAATTCCCTCTTGAATATGTCGAAGTGCCACTAATTCCACCACTAGGCCACTGGTTGCAATCAAAGAAGACTCCCTCCTGAGGTGGAGGTGGCCGACCCGGAATCTTTCATTCGGGGATCGATATCATTAATCGCTTGCGCCATGCCGCTACGAAAGGTTCACGTATGTTATAAGGCGAGGA